TACAATCCTGTGTTCTTGGGGGTCTAGGAAATAGTCAGTGCTCCAATGGATTGAACTGTGTTTTGAAAGACAGCTGAGTTAAAGTTGAGTGGACAAGAGGAACAGTCAGAGAGGTGGTGAAGAACCAGAATAATTCAGGAAATAAATCAAAGGAGGAAAGAGTTGCCCATAAAAAAATCATCATATGAGGAGGGGAGGGCAGAGTGGAGAACCAAAGCCCATCTGTAGGTCACTGGACATCCCCTTACAGAAGGGTCTCAGGGAGGAGAGGAGCCAGTCAGGGTGCAATGTAGCAACGTTGAAACATACAACTTTCCTCTAGTTCCTAAATGCTTCCTCCCCCCGCCTACTATCATGATCCCAACTCTACCTTACAAATATGGCTAGACCAGAGGATGCACACTGATACCGATAGGAACTGGAAACACAGGGAATCCAGGGTGAATGATCCCTTCAGGACCAGTGGTGTGAGTGGCGATACTGGAAAGGGGGAACCGATTACAAGTATCTACATATAACCTCCTCCCTGGGGGATGGACAACAGAAAAGTGGGTGAAGGGAGATGTCAGACAGTTCAAAATATGACAAAATAATTTGTAAATTATCAAGGGTTCGTGAGGGAGGGGGAAGCGGGGAGGGAGGGGAAAAATGAGGAGCTGATGCCAGGGGCTTAAGTGGAGAGCAAATGTTTTGAGAACGATGAGGGCAATGAATGTACAAATGTGCCTGACACAATGGAAGGATGGATGGATTGTGATAAGAGTTGTATCAGCCCCTAATAAAATGATTAGGAAAAAAAATCATCATAAAGGAGGTAGGTCAGTGTTAAGGATCTGTCGAGCCAATGCTGACTCATAGCAACCCTATAGAGCAGGGTAAACCTGCCCCTTTGGGTTCCGGAGACTGTAACTCTTTTGTTTTACAATGGAGTCATTTATTTGAATTAAGCTCTCCTGCAGTCTTAACCAGTGATTATAATTCAGTCAAGAAGTTACATCAGGGAAGAGGGAGTGGGCCTCCTGTTTTGTGTCCAACAGTTTATCTACCTGCTGTCTTAGAGCACGGCGGCACACCAACCATGATGCGCACATCAATTCTTTACTTCTTCAACAGTCTTCTATTTTTAAAATTGTTTTCAGCATCTTCTTTCTTGTATTCATGATTAGCTCATTTCCCTCCAACCTCCCCTCCCATATCCCCAATAACAATATTAAAATAAGCCAGAGAAACAAAGTTGATTGAGAAAATATTAAAAACGAGCAAATTTAAAATGGGTCCAAAGGGAGATCAAATGACCAGGTTTTACATTTAAACGTTAATTACAATTGCCATAACCGGGATGACAATACATTCTGATAGCAAGGCTATTCACTATTTACATCCTCTATGGTCAGAGGGGATTCACCGGAGGCTGAATTCATGTGTGGACCCTGTAGCAAATGGATTTTGGGCTTTTACTGTCATCCCTAGCCCTCTGCAAATTAGGTGTTCACAATTTAAGCTTTATGCCATTCCTTCTGTCAAATTTGAATTTTATTACTTAACAATCTTGGATTACACCAGTTGGTGTGCTTCTTCCATGTGGATTTACTTGCTTGCTTGAATAGCCTTTTAGACCCTTGACAGTATTCCAATTGATAGCGAGGTACCATCTGCCTTCCTCACCACACTATGCTGTAGCACGATCTTCAGTGATCCCTTCATGAGGGTGAGTATCGAGCAGGGCCATGTCATAAGAACTAATTGTTCTTGGATTAGGGCTAGAATTGGGAGCAAACCCAAAATCCATTCACTTGTCTATGGTTCATGTAAGTCTCTGGTTTACATTATCATTTTATGACAGAAAATATTATCAATTTCCCTGCGGCATCAGGTAATTCTATTGATAATGTCATTAACGTATCCAACAGTACAGAATTTACCACAGTTGAGGAAATGGAAGTTGCACAAGTACAGACCGGCTCTGCACCGCAGTCCATGAGCTGTTGGTTGCACAGATAACATTCTTAAATGATCGAGCTCTGTTTACACGTTAACCTGGGGGCTGGTGATGGGGGGATTTCCCAGTAACATTCATTGACAAGGGCAGAGTCACGTCTATGAGAAGAATACATGTCATAGTAAAGCAAGGAGGACATTAAAATAATAAATATACAGTGGTTCTGGGCCATCTTTCACTGAGCGCACACAGAGGGATTCTAAGGAAGGTCCAGTGACGGCTCATTCCACAGCCTTCTGGTGGCTGGCAGTCACCTGCTTTGTCTCCCGCCAGGGAGTTTCTGAGGCTGTTAATGAAAGTAAAAAGTCTCATCCCCACCCCTAATAAGCACCCAGTGGTTTTGAACTGTTAACCTTGTGGTAAGCAGCCTCATCCATAACCCACTATGCCACTGGGGCACACCTATAGTCAAGACAAGCTGGTTTTTATTTTTTTCAGGGGAGAGTGTGAACACAGTCCCCCACTACCACAAACTACGCAGTCGAGTTTCCCACATTTGGGGAAATGGCAGGGGTCAGCACATTGGGAGTGCAATGGATAAGCCTCGCTCTGGGAAAACCACCTTCGTGATCATGGTGTCTCCTGACAAGCCAGTTTTTTAAAGGCTTTTTCCATTTCTCTTAAAACACCATTAGTAATATTTGGAAGTACAATTTTATTTCAGTGGGAATATTTTATCACTTGATCATACATGATCACAGTTGATCATCTGCGCGCGCACACAAAGACGAAGACGCCGGCATTTCAATGTGGGTCTTCATACGAACAAGGAAGCAGTTTCTTTTCACAATACTACCAAGAGATACAGAAAATAGGGACACGATCGTGTTATCTGAGGCCCTATCTCAATACTAATGGAGCAAAACCTGAAGGGCACCGAAGCTTGCTCCATGCCGGTGGCTTGACACTTCTGCAATGTTCTCAATGGAGCAAAATGGGGGATTGCTTGGTTCTTCTCCGAGGACAAATGTTTTGGTAAACATGTGCAGACGTCACCAGCAGTCTTCTGTGCACGTGTCGTTATAGTGCGCTTGGTTTCTTGACACGAGATGGTGCCCCGTGGTCAAGCATGCTCTATTTTTAAAATCCCACACGAGAGGCAGTTATGAGAAGTGGAGTGGTGACAAGTTCAGGTTCGAGAGTGAGATGTTGGACTTTCTCCCTTACTGCCTCTGGGATGTGGTCTAGCTGACAGCTCTCCGAGCCTCAGAGTCCAGGTTTGTAACATGAGACTGATAGGCTTGCGCCAACCTCTCAGCCTGGTGTGCTTGCTTAGCTTATACTTGTCCCTGCAGAGTGCTCTGCCCAGCAAGCAGCTCATTAGAGAGTAGCGGGCAGTATTGGTGATGTTAATAGGGCAATGATTTTTCATTACAAGCCCTGAAACAGTCACTATTCAAAACAAAGCCCGAGCACGCAAAACGGTTTACCAGAGGCGGGGAAGGGGACTTGAGGATGTCTGAGGGGAAATGGAATGACAGTGAATGGAAACACCCCATCAACTTTCTGAAGCGCCCCTGTGTGAGAGCAATGAGGCTTCGCTGGGGGTGTTGAGGAGGCCCCATGGGATAAGACAATGTTGGGCATTTTCCTCAAACTTTTCGAAGCCCCCCTCTTAGGGTCCCAGGATGCAACCCAAGGGAGCCACCTTTCTGGCCGGCAGCTAAGCTCACTGCTTGCATGTCTGGGCGGGTACGTGGGAGTGAGGTGGAGGTTGGGAAAGGAGACTGAGGGACTAAGCATGTGTCGCAGGGGAGGGGTACCCTTCATTTCCTACGGGGTCTTGGGCTACAGTGGACTGATAGTGAGGGTCACTGTTTGGAGCGGAGGTAAAAGGTCCATTCTGAGAACCACAGGGAATGAGGTGAAGAGGGTCATCCAGGTGCAGACACCTCATTGAATGCAGGGCGGGCAAGGAGATGGTGGCACAGTCGGCCCCACTGTGGTCCCTCCCTTTCAGGGCCCCACCCTTTTTACCCCCCTTTCTTGCTACCTCCTACCTATCCCCCGTTTCTGCTCACTTCTTTCAAACAAGGAAATCAGAAGTTGGGGGGTGGCGGGAAGAAAACCAAGGAAAACGTCAGGTTTCCCAGCAGCACCTCACACACGTGCCGGGCAGAGCGCTGTGCCCACAATCCATGGGGGACACGTCTCTCGTCCAGTTGGGCATAGAGGTGGCCATAGAGAAACATGGACACGGACTGCACAGTGACAGCACAGATGCAGAGAGACAAAATGATGTTTCCGTGCACTCCTCTATGCACAGAGCCACTGAGGAAGAACAGCCTCCCCTCACCCCACACTGCCACTCTTGGTGATCTCTCTCTCATTTCTCCATCTCCGCTTAGCTGCTGGACACAAAGGTAGCTTCCCTCGGGTTTACTTGCTGAGCAGACTTTAAAATGTTTGTGGGCAAATGACCCTAAGCTCTTCATTCCATTGTTCCCCAGAGAGCCTTTTGAAGTCCCCTGGTAGATTTTCACTCAGCGCGGAGCCATCCTGATCCACAGGCACAAGGGGGCCGGTTTACCACTCGTTTTAATGTCTGAAGGGAGAAGGCTTCAGGCAGATTCTGGATTTTGATGATTTTCCTCTCATAGCAGAAATACTCAGTAACCCATAGCCAATACTTGCCATCCTAAGAACAAACAGGTAAGCGAGAGTCACTGAAATCGGATGACTTGGTGTGAAGGCGAATACAGCACAGTGTTGCTTTGTTTGCTGACACACCGGAAGGTTCTTTCCAAAACTCTGTATCACCTTTCCGGAAGGCAAGAAAAAACCAGCCACTTTAAAACCGAGAACTACTTGACGAGTAACCTATTCATATGGTTTCCACTGGGCTGAGGCAGTGCAACCCAAATCAGTACAGAAAACCTTCAAACACTTTGTGGGAAAATGACATATTTTTTTAATTGCAGTTTTCCACAAACTTGAAGATTTAGAAAAATCCATGGCCTGGAAGAAGCAACAGTCCGTGTCCCCCACCCCCCCACCCCCCAAGGCAGCAGTAGTTCTTGTTCCTCCTGCTCTAAATGTCTGCTTCCAGGCTCACTTTGCAGCCAAGTTCCTGCTCATTTGAACTGGTTGTCAATCAAGGTCCCCTTCATTTTAGCTTTCTTAGCTTCCAGCTCAGCCTGGAGAGAAAGAAAAGTCAAGGGTCCTGATTGAGTACAAGATACACAATTCTTTTCCTTTCCTTCCACTAGTGGTTCTGGAAAATGGAAAGGCTGGATGGGAAAAGGGGGGTGGGGGGGGGTGTGCGTGCGCACGAAGATACAGGGCTCTGGCCAAAGGCTACTGTTGCAGATTTCGACAGCATTACTGATACCCCCTCCCCCCCACTGCCCCCAAGGGCAAGGGAACCAATATTGTGGCAAACCGGTATCTTCTTGTGGGCAGAACAGGAAGCAAAACACGGCTGCTCTATGTGGCCTGGTCCTCGGACTGCAGCAAGTCTGGGAAATGTTTGCAGGTGGCCCAGGCAAGGTGCATGTGCAAGAATAGGAGTCAGCCTTCAGGAATGGGCAGGCGCTAGGAGTCAGAAGCGACTCCCTTTGGCTGTGGAGTTAACCCTAAAATACTCTCGGAATCAAAGATTGGGGTCTATTCTGTCCTTTTCATTCTATTTACACATTACAACTCTGTCCATGACAGATTGGAAGTTTGAAAACAGAGAAAAGGGGGAAAAGCTTTGGTCTTTCGCCTCAGGACTGTGTCATAAAAACAAAACCGGCTCAATCATCATTCGGCCAGATGGGCTGCCTTGAGACGGCGCAGTGAGGTAGGGCCTTGATGAAGAACCGCGGGCAAATGACTCTTCCACACCCACGGCTTTTGGCACGAACACATCCTATGAGGGGGCCTTCGGAGAGCTGGGGGGGGGGTTGTTGTCATCTTTCTATTAGTATCTTTCCAACGAACTCTTGGAAGGCTCCTTGTGGAAGTGAGCCCAGTAATCAGGTCCTAAACGGCTGGCATTCAGTGCCTGCTGCAGAAGCTATGGCTGCCCGGACCCTGGCCTTGCCAAAGCAGCCCTGTCAAGCCTGGACTCTCTCTTCTTAAAATAGGATTTCCATTAGGGCTCACTCACACATGATTTCAGGGGTAGCTCTTGTGGGCCGCCCCTCCCCGATGACCCCCTTTACAGAGTAGGGTCTAGAGGCAGAATCAGGTGATCGGAGCGCAGGGGTTGAGATGTAGCAGCCAAGTCTCTCCGTAACTCCCCCTGGAGACGTCCTCCTCTCAAGGATTCCCCACCCAGCCTGTTGGAGGGGCTCGCAGACCAAGAGCTCTGAAGAACCCAACCCTTTCCCTTGTCTGCAGCCACTCACCAGCTCCTGCAGCCGCCTCTTGCTCATGCCCTTCCGCTCCAGCTGCTTCTCAATCACTTTGGCATTCTGCGCATACGAGTCAGCAACTTCCCTCTGCGGGAAACCGGAATGGAGGTCTCTTTAAATCGGCAGCCTCACCAGCCACCGGCATCAAACAGAAGCAGCCATCTCTAGTACTCAGGAGGAAATCCTGACAGAGGTGGCAGGGCTCTGCTCACGGTCCACTTTGGAACTCTTGGTATCTACTGAATAGCCCAGGAGAGGGCAGGCTTCCTCACCTGAAACCCATTTTTAAAATAACAACGCCTCTCTCTCTCCCCTCTAATGTCATCACCCTGAAGTACCATAAAGGTAGTTGTCATGGCGGCTAAGGAGTATGGACTCGCTGTCGTGGGAGCTGGGCCTGAAATCACTCAGCCCACTCATGTCTTACACTGAAGGCGGAAGGGGCACTGTCCTTGAGTCTCTCACAAACCAGGGTGGGAAGCCACTGATGGATGCCAGCAGCCCTGGCTCATTGTCCACAGAGCCCGGAGAGGGACAGGAAGGAACGGAGATCAGCTCATACAGTCTCCGATGGCTCCTGACTAGCAGAACCCCAACTTACTGCCACGGAGTCCATGCCGTCTCCTAGCCACCCTATGGGACAAGGCAGAATGGCCACTGTCGATTTCCGAGGCGGTAATTCTTTACTAGAAGAGAAAACCATTTCTTTCTCCCGAGGAGTGATTGGTGGTTCCGACCTGCTGACCTTGCTGGTTAGCAGCCCACCACTAGCAGAGCAAAGGCGGAAAAGCAGGGTTTCTCATGACCCTGTGACTCCAATGCTCTCCTCTCCTACCCTTTCACCCTACCTCCCCTCTCCTCCCAGCTCCCGGGAGGGCGCAAGGACTTACAGCCTCAATCTCCTCTTCCTCTTCATCAATGGTAGACACGGTGACAGAACTGAACTTGCCCATGTCTTTGGTCCGTTTGGTCATCATCACCTGGAATAGCAGGAAGGCAAGTGAGTGCATGAGAGGAGCCTGGGGTGTCTGCAGGGGGCACAACAACCTCTTGGGGTACAAGGTGGCGGGCTGAAAAGCACATGTGGTTTTAGGGACATAAACCTTTTGAACATTTGCCATTAAGAGTTGTTAGAAATGTTCTAAAATGGATTGTGGTGATGATTATAGAAGTCCTCTTTCTTTTTTCTTTTTCTTTTTTACGTGGCTTTGCTTACAAAGCAAAAGGTTTGTAACGAACAAAGCAGGAAAGGGCAGAAAAGTTTACATTTCAGTTGTAGCAAGTACCCTAAGCAAATACGAAGTATAACACAAGTTGCTCGGGGAAGAAGAAAACGAACGAAAACTAGAAGTCTGCTCTTTTGCACACGGTAACTCAGGGGAGAGTGAACGCAGTCCCCCACTACCACAAATTATGCAGTCGAGTTTCCCACATTTGGGGAAATCGCAGGGGTCAGCACACCCGCAGTGCAATGGATAAGCCTCGCCCTGGGAAAACCACCTTCGTGATCATGGTGTCTCCCCTGCCAGGTAAGATTATACAAGTCCTCTTGATGTGGCTGAACGACTGAATTGCATGGTGTGTGAATTATATGCAGATAAAATTGATTTTTTTTAAAGTGTTTAGATGACAGAGGAATTAGGCCAATTCATTCCATTTTTAATTGTTCGCACTAGACCAGGAAGAGCTGGTAAGCATACAAAATACCATTTCTAATGTCATTGGGCAACTGCAGGAAAGAAGGCGATGATCTTACATTTCCTTAAGTATCTAAATGCCCCCAAAAGGCACTCTTAATAAAGATTGCACCTATAAAGGCCAGTGCCTCTCGTCCTTCAATCTTACTTTAAAATGTCCACCTAACCCTCAGGCTGTGGTCCTTAGAGCAAGCCGGCAACTGAACTCACCACCTCTGCTCAACTTTCAGCACAACAATAAGCCTCTGGTGAACATGACCCCTGGGCAGTATGCCCTCCTTCCACCGAGCAAACAAGATCCAAAGGGCAGCATCGGCCCTGGGGCGGAAGGACCGATGGAAACACAGGGAGAGACTAGAAAGAATGTGGTTGCATTGTGGGGGGTGGCCACAATGTCCGGAAACAAAATGTGGATGATTGGGTGGAGGAAGAAATAGGCTGGCTGTCTAAACTCTCAGCCACCTCACAAGAAAAAGCTTTTAAGAAAGAAAGAAAGTTAAGACTGAATTAGTACGGAGGCGCAACCAGCCATGTTGATTACCTTCTTGGGTGGCTCTTGTTTCTGAGTGTATATATTTGTTTTCCCAAAACCCTGGCCAAACTTCACCACGGCGCCGTCCACGATGAAGGTGACGGGCGCGTTCTTGGGCTGGGACTGGTAGAAGAGCGGGAGCCCACACCTGCAAACAGCACAGCCAAACAATCACTGGGTGCCTTCAGCAGCCCAACCCCCCCAAACTGCCACTCTCCAAGCACGCTGGGCCTCAGGCATTAGCTCTTCCCACCGTTTGCCCTACTAATGCCTAGCTTGTTAAAACTGTCCCTCAGATCTTGAGTGTCCTCCCCCAGCAGATCCTGACTCAGGAAGGAGGGGAAGTGGGACGGATGGGCTGGGGTCTTTGTCATGTTCATCAGCCTCCCTGGGGATCCTGAGCTTTAGACCAGTTTGGGAACTACTAGCTCCAGGCTACCAATCACGTTCCAGTCAGTACAGGAGCGTTTGTCTAGGGGGTAGAGTGTATATGGTGTGTGTGTGTGTGTGTGTGTGTGTGTGTGTTGTTTTTATAGTGTCGAAAGGGAGTCTATAGCTCCTTCTTGTGATGTCGTGTGCGCGCGTGCATGTGTGCGCTCATAGAGAGTGCGGCGTGTGCATGTTTGAGAGTGTGTGCAGTATCCAGAGGGAGTTCACAGGCTCTACCACCTCAGTGATCTGCAAATTGGATGACGGGTTTAAACTAATTGCGGTAGGGCGTGCAATGAACTAATTCCTGGAGTGGTCACCATGCGATTTCTACCGCTGGCCCATAATGCATTTTTGGAGCTACATACAGTGGGCCTGTAGGTTACACTGCAGTCCCTGGGTAGACTTGTACTGACACACAGGAGGTCACCATGAGTCAGACCTGACTCCGTGGCAACTGCTGTGTAGGCTTTTGTTTTAAAATAGGTCCTGATGAAACCAGTTTATCCAAACCAGTGTGGCTGCTAACCGCAAGCTCGGCGGTTCGAAACCACCAGCTGCTACACGGAAGGAGGACGGGGCTTTCTAAACCTGTAAAGAGTTACAGTCTTGGAAACCCACAGGGGCAGTTAGCTCTGCCCTGTCCTTTGGCTCACTATGAGCTGCTATGACTGGAAGGCAGTGAGGGGTATTTTTGTTCTGAATGTGAGTGTGAGTAAATGTGGCTTCTTGTGCATTTATTCTGTCCTATGGACTTTTAGTCCAAATCTGTGCCTCAACCATCACTGTGGAAAGACTAGACTATTACAGTTTAATATTCTCACTATTTACCACATAAGACTGGAAAATACATATATACATATGTATCTTTTTGTGTTTTTGTTTTTGTGCTTTAAATAGTACTTTCTAAGCTACAAGTATACAAAATAAAAAACTAAGCTTCCTAAGTCTCTGATCCTCTCAAAGACTTTATAAATAGGTCTGAGTTAAATGGCACTAGGCTACAGTTACCATCTGACCCAGCCTTCCTGTGCCAAAAGACCGGCAGCCCCGCCAATTGTCATATTTGAAGGTCCAGTGCAGCTTGATTCATAATATCTCAAAATGGAAACAGCCCAAATGCCCTACATTGGGTGGCTGGTTGAATGAACTGCAGTCCAGCCATGAAACGGCTTGCTCCTGAGCAGTAGAAAAGAGCCTCAGATGGCTGGGACCACTTGGAGAAGTCCCCAAATGTGAAAGGACACAGAATGCTCTGAGCTGTAGCCCCCACACACACTGCGTTCTAGTTGATTGCAACTCAAAGTTACCCTACAAGACAGAGTTGAACTGCCCCATACGGTTTCTGGGGCTGGAGCCCTGTTGGTATAGTAGTTACCAGTTAGGTCAGCAGTTCCAAACCTCCAGCCACTCCTTGGGAGAAAGAGGGGGCTTTCTACTCCTATAAAGAGTTGACAGTCTCAGAGAGCCACAGGGGCGACTCTACCCTGTCCTAAAGGGTAGCTATGGGTCGGCGTCAACTAGATGGTAGTGTGTCTGGGTTTGGGTTTTTTTTCAGTTTAGAAATCTTTATGGTAGCAGAGTCCCTAACCGTTCTCCCATGGAGCAGCGCGAGTGTAACCACTGACCTTGTGGTTAGCAGCTCAGCACTTGGCTGACAGCGCCACCAGGGTTTTATATCAAAATGTTCATGTAAATCTTACAACTCTACATACTGAAGAATGTACCCAAAACGTTTGGAAAAGGCAAAACGATGGGGATGAGTTGCAGAAGAGGGGGTGTGGCAGGAGGCTGGCCGCAAAGGCTACTGAAATGGCGGTGACCATTTCATGACCACAGGGGCGGGTGGACTGCACCGAGTTGGTGGGAAAAGGAAATGACATCGTGGAACTGTCCCCATGAATGTATTGAGGTGTCCTCGTGCTTTTGTCAAAATGTGCATCGAATGGAACACTTAAAATGGGGTCATTTTGTTAGATATGAATTACACCTCAATTTTTCTTTTAAATCACACTAAGTGAAAACCCCATTTTTGTGGTCAGCTGATCAGGGATGAAACTGACTAGTCTCCCGGGAAGCACATTGGCAAGGATACAGCTCAAGTCTGAAGGCAGTTGAGATGAGAGAAGAATAACAACATAACAGAGAACTGTATCCAAACAATTCTTTTCCTAACATAGTATGCTTCTAGTTGCTTACACTTGGAGAAAGCCAATTCATACTTACTTCCCACACTTTTTCCTGTACTGTCGTTCAATGCCTTCATGTCTGCAGAGAAAATGGATCATTTTATTGGGGCCTCACACAGCTCTCATCAAAACCCATCCATCCATCGTGTCCAGCACATTTGTATATATGTTGGCATCAACATTTTCAAAACATTTTCATTCTACTTTAGCCCTTGGTATCAGCTCATTTTCTCCTTCCCCCACCCCTCCTTCCCTCATGAACCCTTCATAATTTATAAATTATTTTTTTCATGTCTTACACTGACCGATGTCTCCCATCACCCACTTTTCTGTTCTCCGGCCCCTGGGAGGGGGTTATATGTAAATCATTGTAATCAGTTTCCCCTTTCTCCCCTTCCCCTCCTGGTATCGCTACTCTCATTATTGGTCCGGAGGGGTTTATGCCTTGGATTCCCTGTGTTGTGAGTTTTATCTGTACTAATGCACCTGCTCTGGTTTAGCCGGCTTTGTAAAGTAGAAGGGGTGGTGGTGGTGAGGAAGCATTAAAGAACTAGAGGAAAGTTGTATGTTTTATCATTGCTATACTGCACCCTGACTGGCTAGTCCCCTCCCCGAGACCCTTCTGTAAGGGGATGTCCAATTGCCTACAGATGGGCTTTGGGTCTCCACTCCACACTCCCCCTCATTCACAATGATCGACTTTTTTTTCTGGGTCTTGGATGCCTTATACCTGATCCCATCAACACCGCGTGATCACACAGACTGGTGTGCTTCTTCCATGTGGGGAAAATGGAAAAAAAATTTAAAAGCTATAAACAATAAATTCCATAATCTACCATCCTTACCATCTCATTTCTTCAAATGCCACCAAGGCTTTTCAGAAGTTTCAATTGATCAACTAAAAAACCAAATAACAACAAAAAGCTCACTGCCATCAAGTCCATGCCAACTCATAGCGACCCTAGAGGACAAGTGGGTTTCCAAGACTGGAGCTCTTTACAGGAGTAGAAAGCCGCATCTTTCTCCCGAGAAGCTGTTGCCGCCTTTGGCTGCTGACCTTGTGTTTAGAAGCCCAATGCATAATCACCACGCCACCAGGGCTCCTTGTAACAGTGTTAGTAGCCACTTACTCGACCTTTACTAAATGGCAAGAGCTATTCTAAATTGTACATGGAGTCAGTCAGTGAATCTTCCCCGAACCTCGAGTCCCACTATTATTCTCATTTTAAAGATGAGGGAACCTAACTAAGCACCAAGGAGTCCCGGTGGCAGAGTGAGGGGTCCCCACCACCAGTTTGGTGAGGACTCCTCAGGAAGAAGCTACGGTATATACAAAGAACCCTTACTGATGAACAAATAAATGCCTCTTTTAAAAACAAATGTAGTGTGCTGCCCCCCACCCTTTCTTTCCCCTCCTCTTAAAACCAGACTTTGGTAAAAACCCACCCACTCACCCAACTACCTACCCATCTTAGTGATCTTCCCCCATCAACAGATAAAGAGTTGCTTCATTCTTCATAAGGGTTGTGTTACATTCCTTTAAAACAAAAGGTCTTTTCCCAGTTAAATTCTGAGAAGTGCATATACATTGGAAGTGCTGGACTATCTCGCCAAATCACCCTCTACAGAAGTCGAACCACCCCTAGTAGGTTGAATGTGGCTGTTTCCCCTATAGTCTCGCCAACACCAAACCAAAAAAACCAAACTCATTGCCATTGAGTTTCATTTATTTGTAATTAGAAATAAGTATTTCACAATATATAACTACAGATTGTCTTTGTGATTAATCACTGCTTTAATTATGTTCAATTTGTAACAATGAAAATACATCCTGCATATCAGATATTACATTACGATTCCTAACAGTAGCAAAATTACAGTTATAAAGTAGCAACAAAAATAATTTTATGGTTGGGGGTCACCACAACATGAGGAACTGAATTAAAGGGGCGCGGCATTAGGAAGGTTGAAGACCACTGCTCAAGGACACAAGAGAGGCCACTGGGGGGTTCCGAAGCTATAAATCTTTACAGGAGCAGACTGCCTCATTGTTCACCCACAGAGCACTTGGTGGGTTTGAACTGGTGATCTCGTGGCTAGCAGCCGACCTGAAAACCACAGCTCCTCTCCACAACACATCATTAAATGGCATCACCCCCAATCTGACCTGAGGGAGGAAGGGGGGGGGTAACGACACAGGACCACAGAATTTGTATTTCCCTTTTTAAGAGTGACGTTAATAAGCATCTTTTTGAATGTTTGATAGCTGTTTCTATTTTGTTTGTGGACAGTCAGTTCTGACCATGTTTCCTTTATCACCAGAAAACTTGCAACTATTATGGTGTCTGACTCCAAGTGGCTAATTGTAAACACTATGGTACCTGATGACACAGTAAGACGCCCTGGTGGTGCGTGGGTACATGTCGGACTGTTAACCTCAAGTCGGCAGTTTGAAACCACCAGCTGCTCTGAGGGAGAAAGACAGGGCTTTCTACTCCTTCCTATAAAGAGTTGTTGTCTTGGAAATTCACAGGGGGTAGCTCTGTCCTGTCCTATATGGTCACTTATGAGTCAGGAACAACTCCATGGTAGTGAGTATGGTTTTGGTTTTGTTTCGGTGCACAGTGGTTCATTGCTCTGTTGCTAACCAAGAGGTCAGCTGTTCAAACCTGTAGGTCACTCAACGTGACAATTGGATTCTGTATAGAGTTATAGTCTTGGAAACTCACAGCGGCAATTCTACTGTCCCATGAGGTCACCGTGAGTTGGAATGACCAACAGCAGTTTGCTGGGTGTTTTAGGTTTGGGGTAATATGGGAAAATTACCTACTTTTTTCTTATTTAGCTTTTTATTTTAACAAGTTTTATTACCACTTCACCCACATGTCATACAATTCAATAATTCAAGAAGAGTTGTACAACTGTTATCATATTCAATGCTAGAATACTTTCTTCTTCCTTGTACTCAGTTATTCATGTAATTATTTTTTTCAAATTGTGGCAAAAAGATACACAAGGCATTCTCCAATTCTACAACTTCTACTTGTATAATTCAGTGCTATTGATAATATATATTTTTTACATTTTTATTGGCACCTAATCCACCTATCATATAATCCATAGTTCAACCATTCAATCGTATTAAGAATAATTGTACAATCATGACCACAATCAATTTTAAAAACCACCCCCCAAGGTTAAAATGCAAGTTTCTCCTTTAGAGCAGTTGGTGGCTCGAACCACTCATCTTGTGGCTAGCAGTCCAACAGTTACCTGCCAGCACCAAAGGGACTCCTTTGGAGTAGAGATGGCCTAGCTAGGTGCGCCACAGTCTTGGAAGCCGTTACCAAAAAAAAAAAAAAAGTTTGATCCTACAAAAGTAGGTCATTTTCTATGAACACCCAATTGCTAAAAGACCTAGGCCTGCTAACCACAAGGTTGCTGAGATAAAACTGAAGCTCCTTACCATGGCCTACCAGACCCCCACTGAGCACATCATCATCAGGCCCCACCTCATCTCAGACCTTCCCCACTCTTCTCTCCGAGGGGAATGTTCTTCTCACCACTGGGCCCTGGCTATCCCTTCTCTTCTTGGTTTATTTGGTCTCTGTTCAAATATCACCTAGTCAGAGGGGCCTTCCTTGCCCATGTTTGCTAAGAGGCTTTCCTGGGATTCTTTACCTCAGCTCTGGATTTCATCCACATCTCCTTTTTTTTTTTTAATAATTCTATTAGGGGCTCATACAAC